TATATATATATATATATATATCAAAAATATATGAAAGATGTGTATATATGTATATATATGTATATATGTACGATGAAAGATGTATATATATATATATATCAAAAATATATATATAAATATCAAAAATTTTATTTAATAAAATAGTGTTATTGTGTTACGTATATTTAGTTTTATTTATTTAGTAAATTACATCGTGACATATGTAAGAATGTTGGAATATTTTCATTAATTTATAACATTGGAAATTTTTTTTTTTTTTTTAATTTGGACGAAACCGTGCCAACTTGTCAGCTGTTTTTCTTTTTTTTTAAAAGATTCTAAAATTCACAGCATTACAAATTACCGACATGTTCTCTCGAATGAAACGGTGTTAACGCGAGTACACGAATTTGTTGCGCAGGAAGCAGGAAGAATCGTAAGAACCGCGAGGATGCCGATGGAATTCTTGGAGCGACTTCCAATCCCGAATCTGCGGGTGTACATGGCGTTAAGCTTCGCCGTGTTATCCTGTTCGGTGTATTATGCGGTTCAGATCATCAAGGACCCGGCGTGGAAGAGCAATCATACTTATGTAGAGACGAAGAACGAGTCGACCAGCGACATCGAGTCAGATCCGAGGAATTTCGCTATGCATATGAAAGAGCTACTCGAGTGCATGGTCGACGAGCCTGCATGCATCTGGGTAAGTGCTGTACGTCGATCTAAAATTTCTTTCTTTTTCTTTTCTTAAATTCATGACAATTTTTAATAGATGCTAAAATTTGTAATATTAGAAGTTGTGTATCTTTCAGCTTCGATAGAACTGTGCCAATTCGTCAGCTGTTTTCGAAAGCTATTTCATACATTCATTTAGCGGAATTATTCACGTACATATATATATATATAACTTTCACGCGGTCATATGGTGATTATAATTCGAACTTATAACGCGAGAAATCAAAGATAACACACTGTATTGCAGTGTGTAAGTATACAAGAAATCAACTCTTTTCATCGTGACTAATAATTCGTCTCTTCTCGATGAGTTGTTAATGCTTCGCGTGTTTGTTCAATTCGGCCCGACGAGAGTGTGCTTCATAATGTTTTCCAACACTCGGCGAATTAATGACTGGTGATTCTAAATCAAAGTAAATTGAACTTAACTAGCTTGAAATTATTTCGAATTATTCGCCAAAATAAGTCTAATTTAATTTCTGGACAATCTAATTTTATTGAGAGATTTTCTAATGAACATTCTAATCGTTTTACCCTTTAATATAGTTATTCGAAATATATTATTCTAGAAATTTGCACTTAAAGGAATCAAATTAAAACAAATGAAAAAGAATTTTCCATACTTTTTTGGTTAAAAATAGACCGTAGACTATTATTATATCTTTCAATCTAATAAATTTATTAGTCAGACATGTTTTATGGATTAATTTAAAAAATTAAAAAATTTTGTCTTAATACTCTTAATATTGAGAAACCTTATTATCGGGCGAGCCAAGT